CCGCAGTTCGGACGTCAGAGCTGAGACGGATAACTGGGGCGGTTCGGCTGGCTGCATGGCTGAAATTTTGGCGACGTGTGGTGCAGAAGGCATGCTGTGAAGAGTTGATGGGCGTGAGGCTCAAGAAGGGATGATGTGGTAGGGTGGGGCGGGACGGGACCTAACCCAATGGTGCTAGGCGGCTTGCGGCACAACATCAGCACGCAAATGGGAGCACGCGACCAGGGCCGGCTGCAAAACATGGCGGCTGAAGAGGGTGCAGAAGGGACTTGGATGCATAGAGGAGAGTGCGTGGTGGTCCTGCACTGCACAGAGGCTGGAGGCGTACAGTATGGATGAGTCTGGTCTGGCGCATCGGCTGGGTGTGCTGGCCAACGGTCGATGAAGGTAAGAAGATTCCCTGCCGGCACATGCAACGACCGTCCCGGCCAGCGAGGAGGAGGATGGTGCTGCTGCTGCTGCTGCTTATCTGCTCTCCAGCGCAGGACAGGACATGAGTTCAGCGCGGGGTGCGTCGTGTTGGTGCGCATGTACAGGAAGATCAAGGTACAGGGCGCGTGTGATTGGGCGGCTGGGGGCGGCATGCAGGGCAACGGCGAGCGAGGCCAGCCAGACCCATCTAGTGTGCTGCCGTGTTATCATGCGCACACATCCAGTGATGGCGGTGAGCCATGACGCCCAAGCCGAAGCCGAGCACACTGTCTGCTGCGAACCGCCCCCAGCACCAAACCATGCGCGCGAGAAAAGCAAAACAGAGGCGATTATGACGCCGTTGCCAGTTGATGTCACAACGACGCAGACGCTCTTCCAAACCCGTCGCCCTAGTAGCCCGTTCCGGCGCCGCTAGCGCTCCAAGGTGGGGTCTACGAGGGATTCGAGCAAGGTTCCCCGACGCCGCCATACCCAAGTCGCATCGCCATCTCAAGCAACCACCAGCCGTCCTTCTCGCACATACGCACTGCAAGCCGTCTGTCAAGTGGCATGTCGTGGTCACTTAGAGGCCGGCTAGTCAGCGCAGCGCTGCAAGCAGAGGGGAGCCCAAGTTCCCCCAGATAGTGTCGGACGCGATCGGCCGATCCTATCCGTTTTTTAGTGGCTGCCCAGCACAACAACGACCCAGAACTTTCCTCACACCACCCTTCTTCTCTCTGCACTCTTCGTCTTCTACACCGCCCTCGCCTCATATTTGCTCCCAACGCCCCTCCCATTCTTCTTTCTTTTTTTGATAGCGTGCACACACAGGCCAAGCGCAGAAAAGGCTATACTTGCCCACCACCCCCACGCGCCACCCCGAGCCACAGTAAGGCTGCGTGTTGGCAAAGCCGTAAGATTCATACCAGGTTGCAGAATGCCATTTCTCACAAAGAACCGAAGAACTAGCCTCCAGAATGCCTCCACCGACGACGACGATTTTCCCGCCGCCCAACTCGGCCTTCTAGGTAAGCCTTTCACCCCCTGAACTGCTGCTTACCACTGGCACCCCACGTGCCCGCCTATACTGACATGGCCATACAGCCCTCGTTCGGGTCGCAGAGCCAATTGCCCTCACCTCAATCCTTCCATATGCCTGGAAACTCGTCTCCAACTTCCACGTTGGCACAGAAACAAATGCCCCCTTCTTTGCCGGCCTGCTCATCTCCGCCTTTTCGCTTGCCGAGGCCTGTAGTGGCATGTACTGGGGCGGCGTATCCGACCGTGTAGGTCGAAAGCCCGTCGTCATACTTGGATGCATAGGCACCATGTCGTCCCTGCTCCTTGTTGGCTTAGCCCCCAACTTTTGGGTTGCACTTGCTGGTAGAATTATCGGCGGTGCGCTCAACGGCAACATTGGCGTCATTCAGACCATGGTCGGAGAGCTGGTAAAGCGACCTGAGCATGAGCGTAAGTACTGCCCTTTGTTTGTTGCAGAGAAACTAGATATTGACTGCTTAATAGCAAAGGCTTATGCCGTCATGCCGTTTGTATGGAGCATTGGTACCATTATAGGCCGTAAGTTGAACATGCTTGCCTGGTTTTGAACTTTGAACCCCCCTAAATCTCTGACTTCTATAGCTTCGATTGGTGGCTACTTTTCTGAGCCTGCGACCAACTTTCCCTCGGTGTTCAGCCCCACAGGTCTGTTTGCCAAATTTCCCTACCTATTGCCAAACATCATCTGCGCCTCCCTGCTCTTGCTTTCCATCATCATGGCATATTTCCTGCTAGACGAAACCCACCCAGACAAGCAGCCACACGGATTCTTCGAACAATACGATGCAACTGTTGCAGAGACCCCACTTCTGCCTGCCCAAGGTGCAACCGCCGATTCTGCGGCAAACCTGACTGCGGACTCATACGGAACATTCAACTCGGTCGAAGTTGAGCGCGACGAGGTTTGGCGCGTGCGGTCCAACGGAGACTGGGTTGAATCGCCTGCCAGTGAGAAAGTCTTTACACGGCCAGTGATTATGTTTGTCATAGCACTGGGAATTTTCACGTACCACTCGGTATGCACCGAGGACCACTGTGGCACATGGATCAACGCTAACCGCTTCACAGATGACATACGACCACTTGCTTCCCATCTTTCTTCAGGACAAACGCGCCAATGACGACATGAATGCATTGGACTTTGCTTCATCCGCACTTGGTGGTGGTCTTGGCATCCCAATTCAAAAGGTTGGAATCATTCTTTCCTTGAATGGCATTATCCAGCTTGTGATCCAGGCCCTCGTCTTTCCAGTGCTGGCTGATTGCTTTGGCGTGTGGAGGCTATTGCTCATTGTCACATTGGCACACCCCATTGCGTACTTTATCGTGCCCTTCTTGCAGCTTCTGCCTGAGCACTTGCTTTACCCCGGTATATTTGCTTGCCTCACGGTGCGAAATCTGACGTCAATTTTGGCGTTCCCACTGCTGCTCATTATGATCAAGGAAGCCACCCCTGACAAGTCACATCTCGGAAAGATTAACGGACTGGCTGCTTCGACAGGTGCTGCCTGTCGCACAGTCGCTAGCCCCATCGCTGGTCTGCTCTATGGTCTATCGATTGAGCTGCGATTCACCCCGTTGGCCTGGTGGGGCTCTGCTCTAGTTGCTGTTTGCGGAGCACTTCAAGTGCCTTTCTTGAACCGCGCAGCCCACGAATGCCACGCCCAAGTGCGAACCGCAGCCCGATGCTGCCTTGTGAAAGAGCGACGGCGAAGCGAAGTTGTGCACATTGTGGTGGAGGATGAACAACCATAAGAGCAAGGATACTTTGCGCAGTACATGTTGATGAAATTTCAGGACAACCCTTTTTTTTCTTTTGGGACTTTTTCTTTTTTCTTTTTCATCGCTGAACTCTGTGAACAATGATGCAATTCCGTGGCGTTGTGCAAAAGACGCAACTAGACTGATAAGTGCTGGCGTTCAACGTGGATGGGTCGACGTTTCGTATACCTAAAGATATAGACATGGTCGTAGCTTGTATATACTCGTACTATCCTGTGGCATTAGTAGCAACACGGCATGTTTACTCCTGGATGAGTTCCTGATAAGATGTTTTTCCCCCAATGGGTTGTTGATCGGCCATGGAGGGTAGGTCACCCACACGAGGGTAGGTTCATGCACAACCCCAGAGTGAACACTGCATTCTTACCCGGCTTGGTCCTGAAACGTTAGGGCCATTATGTAAACACCAAGTGGCCTCAGGAAGGGTGGCAAGCAAGTTTGTCCACTGTGACATAGGATATGCCTTGGGCCGTCGTTTCTCGTCACAAGCAAGATATGAAGGTGCAGTCTGGGGGTTGACACGGCCACTGCCATACATTGTGTCTGGTATGTCCTAACGGGGGTACCCGCGACATTGACGACAATGCCGTGTGTCGAGGTGTAGGAGGACAGGAAGGCGAGACGACACATCCTTGCATTTGTGTGCCACAGGGTCAGGGCAAGAGCAAATATGCCAACGCCATTTTTGGAAGACATGTGTCTGTGTCTGTGGAGAGAGCCGCCGTCAGTGTTGATCGCAGCAGCAGGGCGGCCCTGAATGATGTGCCGCCTGGCCCGATGGGTTGGTGGCGCACACGGACGAGCGGGCCCGACCGGCTTGATAACTCTGAGTTTGCCATTGTGGCCCTCTTCGCAGCCTCATCGCATCGAGTTTCCTCATCCTTGATGCCCCTTGTAATCTTGCATCTCCAAGCACTCGAGACGCACGGCGCCGAGAGACGCAGAGCCTTCGTCGGGCAAAGCTTGTTGTTACCGGCCCTCGTTGGTCGCTGCATGGGCGCGATGGATGATGGCCATGAAACACGCTTGTGCGCCTGCTTTTGGGCGACAGCGCTTCACCTCCAACCAATCCGTCTCCATAGATCGGCGCAAGATACTCGAATAGGCAATCAAGGTTATGCAGCGTCCAGTATTCGGAAACCAGTATGGACATGGGCAGATGCAAGGAACGGGAGACTGTCATGGTAAGCTGACGGGCGGCTTCTGGCAGAAGCGGAAATAGAACATGGCCATGAGACCGCCTCTTCCAGGCCTCGCACTCGCCTACAACACCACGTCGTTGTCGATTGCCGCTGAGGACAAAAAGTAACTCTATTGTGGCGTCGATCAGCCCATGGATAGGAGGCGACAGACGGCGAGCCAAGAAAAAGCCAGCCGCCGGGGGTCCAATTGAGCGCGTACTGAATGGTTCGCTGGCCGCTTGCTCACACAAAGCTGCATGGTAGACTATTTAGAGGAAAATATCTAGGGCGTTTCAGAAGCACCCCATGCCACGGCTGAAGCAGTGCCTGGATCCCACCACCACCACCCCCCAGGCAGCCTGGTAACCGACGGCTGTAGAGCCATGTGGGCCTGCAGAGCGCGCGACAAGCCGACTAGGAGGCTGAGCATTCGAGGCCCCATGCTACACGATTATCGACCAATACATTGACAATGTTTCAAGCTTGCTTGTTTCGTCCCTGTGCTGGATGGGAAGAATATATTTTACATGTTCATGCCGCTTTTTGCAACACCCACCCCCTCCATCAGCTTCGTCTTTTTTAATCACAGCACTGCTGTTACATTCGCTTTTCCCCCAGGTGGAATACACTGCCCTCTTTAGGCTACATTCTCTTTTCTTTGTAGACCATCATTCGTTTCGGTCTCTTGGAACCTTTACCTTACTACCATTGACACTCTTTACGTCTTGCCTCGATATCTACATCGTTTGCAGACTACACGACTACGTATTGCTACTATTATTCTCTACCCCACATTTTGACAATGAAGACTACCTACGCTCTTTTGGTCACTGGACTGGCCTCTCAGCAAGTCGCTGCCACTTGGAACTTCTTCGACAACTATGGCACACCCAACTACAGCAACAACAAGTGTAGCGAGAAGCAACAGGCTGGCTTTGACTGGTCTGACCTCAAGGACGGTGACTCGGTCAGCAACTACGGAGACTTTGACTTTTCCGGAGGCTGGAAGTGCGCCAACTCTTTTGGCAAGCTTGACTTGTTGACCAAGAGGACTTTTGGCAACAAGTGCATCAAGAACAAGGTCAGCAAGAAGCAGCCTGCTTCATTCGGCTGCAACAAGCGTGGTTTCTCCATCAGCCATATGGACATTTCTTCTGAATTCGACGCTGAACTCGAGCTCCACTACACCATGGAAGATGGGTCTATTTGCAAGCAGCTCGGCAGCTGCTCAGCTGGTGGATCGACGCTTCAGAATACGCAGTGTGGTGGCGCCAAATCCGTCGACGTCTACCTTGGTTCTCACTACCAGGGCGACCAGGACTCGTGCGAGATTGGCTTCCACAACATTGGCTTTGACTGCAGCCCTGAGACTCCTTACACCACACCCACTCCACCTAAGGCTCCCTCTACCACCAGCCCCGCCGAGTATCCCACTTCTCCTGCCGAGTCAACTCCCACCCCAGTCCCCAGCACTACTCCTGCCGATGAGTGTGGACGGTACAGTGGTAAGGGATGCGGCACTACATCGGTTCAGAAGCCTACTGGTGGAGTTTGCCAAGGTGACAACTGCTACCCTGCTTCCACTCCTGAGGCTTCCACCTCACCCAGCGAGACTCCTACTGCTGAAGTTCCCACATCGGAAACTCTTGTAGAGACTCCTACCGAGACCCCCTCAGAGACTCCCTCAGAGACTCCCTCAGAGACTCCTACCCCAGATGTTCCTACTTCCAAGGTTCCCGCTTCTTCGCCTGCTCCTTACACCAACACGTCTGCCCCTGCATACACTCCTCCTACTCAGGTTCCTTCTTCAGTTGTCGAGAGCACCACTGCCACTCCCCCAGTCGAGAGCTCTGCCACTCCTGAATGCGGTTATGGCCAGTCTTGCGAAGAGTCATCTGCTGTCCCTAGCAGCACTGCCACTCCTCTTCCTGCCACCAGCTCCGAGGCTCCCAAGCCATCAAGCCCCAGCTACCCTCCTGTGAACGTTACCGACTCGGTCCCCAAGTGCATGAACTCGTGGCTCCAGATCTCTGCTCCTGGCTGCAAGGACAACACCGACGCCAAGTGCTACTGTGTCAAGCCCGAGTTTACCAAGAATGTCATCGACTGCCTTACTGCTCGCTGCGGAAGCGACGACGATATCCGCAAGGCGCTCCAGTACTTCATTGGTATCTGCGCTGAGCACATCCCCGAGAACCCCAAGATTGTCGGCGACTGCCCTTCGTACATTCCCTTGAACCCTACCCCATCTCCTGCTGTTCCTACTGGTGGCGCCTCTGCTCCGGTTCCTGGCAGCTCTGTCCCTGCTGCTGCTGAGAGCAGCTCTGTCGTTGTTCCTCCTACTGGTGGAGAGGGCATGCCCGCTCCCTCAGCCCCTGCTCAGTATCCGGCTCCTTCAGCTCCCGCCCTCACTCCCATTGCCAGCAGCGCTCCCCCCGCCGAGCAAACCCCTTGCACCACCATCACCTATGGCACAACCACCATCACTGTGCCCCAGGTCTACTTCACCACCGAGCCCAGCACCCCTGGTGCCACCCCCAGCCAGCCTGTCGCTCTCGTTCCCGGCACTGCGCCCCCACAGACTCCCGCCACTACCACTCCGGCTGGTGGCGCCGTCCCTCCTCCTTATCCCGCTGCCACTACTCTGGCCACTGCCGCCGTCCCTCCTCCTTACCCCATTGCCACTACCCTGGGCACTGCCGCCGTCCCTCCTCCTTACCCCANCTGCCGCCGTCCCTCCTCCTTACCCCATTGCCACTACCCTGGGCACTGCCGCCGTCCCTCCTCCTTACCCCACTGCCACTACCCTGGGCACTGCCACCGTCCCTATGGCCTCTGGCACTGGTGGTCTGAATCCCTCATCACCCGCTGAATTCACCGGCGCCGCATCGCCCTTCAGCGTGGTTCCCCACAGCGCCCTCTTTGCTGCGCTCCTCGCCTTTTTCGCTTTGTAAAAAAAACCGAAAATAGAGCCAATCTTGTAATATGTGGTCGTTTTTTTTTCTTTAACAACCCCCCACCAAAACTTTTCTTTTATGTATAGCTTTTGGCTTTTTTTCATGTGGAATATATATCATGGGTCAGGGATGGAAATGGGTGTGGTGCTGGATGCATCTTTTGTAATATTAGGGCGTTTCTTATGAGGGGGCCTGGATATTGGAAGAAATATGAATGTTCTAGAAACATGTCATTGTGCCTTAGTTGAGAATGTGTGTGTGTATTTGAAGTGATGTTTGTTTTGCTTGGTGTGCTGTCTTGATTTGGCATTTAGTCCAAGGGAGGTAATTGTAAAATGGAGATGAGATTGCTCGAGGCACTCATTCTCTTATACGCAAGAAAAAAAAGGAGAGTATTGTCCTCTTAGACTTCATACAGACTAAAATCTATGAAGCCGACACTTCTTCTAGGAATTACATAGTCAGCAAGTCCGCTGCTTTCATCAAAGCAGAGTATGAAATCACAATGGCCATACGGATCACAGCGGGAAACGCACCTTCCCCTTCCCCTTAGTGGCCACGCCGAGTTATCGCATCAAAGTAGGAATATTCTAACTAAATCATTGATGCATCCCAATGAGGAACGTGGATTCTCGGACGTTGCAATGTATTGGTGGTCATGTTGCACCCAGTAAGAATTGGAGTGATTTCAGTAGGATTGGCAAGGCTATCTTGAACATGTTCTAGGTGGAAAGACGTCTTTAGCAAGCCAGCATGGTTTGGTTATTCACATGGCATACCTCCTTGGCAATGACCCTGCAGATTGCCAAGTTTGAGCGGGTATGTAAGTATGCGGGGAGTTCGCATGTGAATGATTCATCATCATGGGTGGATTGCATGAACCGAGGTCCATCGTGCATGTGCCGTGTCAAGGTAAGCCCTATGGGCCTCAGGTTACTAGCCTCCCCCAGACCCCAGATTGCGCCGACAACAACGACAAAGCGCTTCCCCTCCTTCACGTCATGATCACGTCTCACACCACACCAGACGCCCAGCATGTCGTCGTCGGCTAGCGCTTCGCAGCCTCCTCCACCGGGCAAGCCACAGCCCATCGACCCCATCCTGCGTAATGCGCTGCGCTATACTATCTCGGCAAAGGAGTATCAGTTGCTGCACCAGTACCTCCTTTCACGTGCGCCAGCTGTGAAGAAACGCAGCATTACCCCCAAGCGATACGACGCAATTGTCAAAGGCCCGGATGATTACAATGTCGCTGCCTTTCGCGCCGCGTTGCGCCTGGGCTTGGTAACCTTGACTGGGCTCAAGGCGTGGGAGGTGATTAAGACGAGGTTCTTGTCGCGAAGAGCTGTCCAGAGGTATAACCAGTCCATTTTGCTCAGCGCAAAAGAACAAGGGCTGGAAAGGCATTCATACTGACATGCTAGCAGGAACCAACCCCGTGTACCCATCTGGAAATCACCCAATGTCCGTCTTAGCAGCTCTCTCGCTCTAATTCTTCTCTTCCATCGCCTCCTACGACGCGTCTTTTTGCGCATCCGCGAGAGTCTTCTGAGCAATGAAGCGCGCTCTTTTCGACGGCGGAACCCGCGAATATCCCGCACATTAACGTCTACACTCGCACCAGCTATTGGATCCAGCCTGGCAGGTTTCTTCCTCGCCGTGTACCCTGGAGACCAGCTGCGCATCACCATGGCAATCTATGTCATGACACGAGCGCTAGAATTCGGCTACAATTACCTCGAAGAACTGGGCTACATGAAAAACAGACCGAGCTGGTTCGGTTCCTGGATGCTCATGCCCGTAGCATGCGGCCAGCTCCTCCACGCCTTCGTCTTCGACCGCGACTGCTTCCCCTCTGGCTTCGGCGAGCACATTCTCCGAAACTCTCCCGAATACATCCAAAAGCGCCCCGCAGACTACCCAAAGTCCGCGCCCTGGCCAGGCACCTTCGACATTGTCGATAGCCTAGCTGAAATCTCGCGCCAGAGATGGCCACCCTTCATCTCGCCCATCCTCTTCCCAGACACGGAAACCCTGCCCAAACGTCTGGGCTCCATCTCCCCCATCACCTCGTCGGCGCACCCCGCCATCAAATCCCTCTCCTGCGCCCTCCTCCACCCACAAGACCCCTCGTGCCTCCGCACCTACATCCAATACTGGATCCAAGCCTTCCCGAAAATCGCCCGCCTCTTCACCATCTTCTTCGCCACCCTCAGCATCCGCAAATACAAGGCCTTTTTGTCCTCGCCACTCGCCTCGCTAAATACCCTCGCAAAATCCATCCTCCGCATGTCCATCTTCCTCTCCGGCGCAATAGGAACGAGCTGGGGCTCCATCTGCCTCTTTACAAACTTCCTGCCTCGCTCTTTCCTCGCCACTCAGCGATGGTTCCTCAGCGGCGTGCTGGGCGGCATGTGGGGCTTCCTTGGGCGAAGGAATGGCAGAATGAATTTCCTGTACACGGCGCGTATGTCGTTGGATTCGCTGTGGAAAGTGGGTGTCAAGCATGGCTGGTGGACTGGTGTCAAGAATGGCGATGTGCTGCTTTTTGTGGCCAGCTTGGCGCTCGTCAATACGCTTTATGAGGTTTCGCCGCGCTCTGTTAATAGTGGCGTTGCCAGGAAGGGGTTGGGTGTTTTGAGGGGAGAGGGATGGGTGGATAGGGCGGTGGTGGGTAGAGACGAGAATGAGAAGAAGAAGAAGAGGGAGGAGTAACGAAATGTCTAGTGTCTTCATTTTTTTTTCTTTCCTCTGTTTGTACTTGACCTTGTATCATGACGATAACGAAGAATCGTGTAATTCTACTACTCTCTCAACCAAGGTATCCGCAGAAGAAGAAACTATAGTATAATATAAATATTGAGGTGCATTCCCAAATACAGAACGCTATAGAAGAAAGTGCAATTTGGGTATATCAAGGACTGGTGTAGTCCCTTGCTAGAAGGAAGAAAGAAGAAGAAGAAAAAAAGGGGACGAAAAAAAAAAGAGAGAGTCTACTACCATCGCTCTGCCCCTACGCTCGAAACAAAGTTTTTCCACCTTACGCCACACCACCACCACCACTCCCCCCCACCTGCCATTACCATCCATCATTATTCCAGATCCCACACCTAAACCGTGAGCTCAAGCCATAGCCATCGTCTCGGCACACTCGGCCAACTCTGGCTTCTCACCGCCATAACTCTTTGGCACGTCCTTGCCCAGCTGCGTAGCAAGCTGCTTGCCATCACTCAGGACGACAAACTTCCTGCTCGTCTCCTTGGCGACGACGAGCTTGACGGCGGTAAACACCCAGCCCATGATTGCCGGCACATTGACAAAGAACTTGCGCGACAGCGTCTCTGGGTAGTGGCGCCCGAGAATCTCAATCGTCTTGTTGGTGGCCGCCTTGACGAGGGGGTCGCGGCGGATGAAGGAGACTTGGAGGTAGTCGTGGACTTGGAAGCCTTGGTAAGGGTCTGGGCCTTCGCCGTAGTTGGGGATCGGGGCCGTGGCCGACGAGAGGGAGAGGGCTTGGACGGATTTTTCCATGAGGCCTACGCGCCAGCGGAGGAAGCTGTATGATTGAACTCGTTAGCTTTTTTCCTTTTTTTTTCTCTTGAACTCTTCTCTCACATATGGGTAAGAGAGTTGTTTGGTAGAACTTCGACTTACCCATCTAGATCCCCGAATGTAGCCTTGTTATCCTTGACAGCGCCATAGACATTGAACGTAGTAATATCCTTCTTATTCGGGCTCTCGGGTACACCCTCAACCTCAAGGACGTAGCCCAGGCCCTCAAACCTGGCCTTGTCAAATGTCTCGGTGGCAGCCTTGACGGGGTCAAACGACTTGCGCCACTTGAGCGTCTCGAGGAGCTGCGCCTTTGCCTTGTTCAGGTCATTCTGGTTGGCGCGCAGGAACTTTTGCAGAATGAGTTTGGTGTGGAACGCGTTGGACTTGCTGAGCTCGATGCCGTAGACCTCGCTGTGCTGCGCTTCGGTGACGAGGGCTTCAAACGCGTCGTAGAACTTGGTCAGAGGATGATCGGGCGCCGTCTCGGGCCATACGGGGCCGGTGGTGGGTTCGACGGTGCTAGCTTCGGGTTGCGCGTCACTAGGAGCCGCAACGGCAGGCGTTGTTGTGCTAGCAGTAGTAGGCGGTGTTACTTCCTCCGTCGTGCTCTCCTCCTTGGCCTCCTCCTTGGCCTCCTCCTTGGTCTCCTCCTTGGTCTCCTCCTTGGTCTCCTCCTTTGGTTCTTCCTCTTTGACCTCTGTCTTTGGTTCCTCTTTTAGTTCTTCCTTCTTTTCTTCCGCCTCCACCTTCTCTACCTCTTTCTCCTCTTCCTTTTTCTCAGACACGGAAAGATCAGCTACTCCGGTAGTCGCATCGTCTACGGCCTTGGCGTCCTCCTTTTTGTCGGTGGACTCGACCACAGGGCTGGACTCGGGCTGCTTCTCTGGAGTAGCCTCATTGAGGAGTCCTGCGCCTTCGGTAGTTACCGGCTTGGTCTCTTCAGGGTTTGCTGCCATTTTGTTATTGTCTCAAATTCTGTGGTTGCAATGTGCTGTTAGTATATTGTATTTGGGGATGTTAAAAGGACAACGGTAATCACGCTATAATTTCCGAAACCGCAATACGAAGACGCGCGTTCACGTGTTCCCCACCTATCAATGAAGACACGCGTTCTTAAGCATATTGGGTATACGATTGAACTAAACTATTCAATATGGCAATGGCACACTTGGAAAATGATGCATACAGTGTTCGTTTGGTCAAGCTATGAACTTCTATACTTGAAAGCATAATGGCGCGTGCCTACGGGGCCCACCCTCCCTGGCCCACGCCAATACTGAATGTGTCTGGGCGTTTCTTACATCGACTGATGCAACACCGCAATATAGTGTCCTCTCTATAGACAGAAACGATGTTCACAAGGTTGGTAGCAGCTCAGCGCAATCAGTAACAAAGCAATCTGCATCCTCATTAGCACAAACTCCACCCAATTGTGACATGCAGGGATCAAAGTAAAAGAAGCAATCAGTCGAAAGATGAAAAGTCTCGAAAGGTTTGTCAATCAGTGGGGCGAACCCCTCTGAGTTAGCATGAATTTATGTTCATCATAGCATAGAGGCGAAACAAAATAAGTATTTACCTTTTTACAATGAACTGGACGTCGAAAGTGGTGAGTGATCATTGGTTTACCAAATACCTGAAATGGAGTCAGCTACATGTCACATGTACAAATGTTGCGACTGAAGATTGTGCGTAAAAAGACATTCAGGTAATCGAACTAATTTGTTCCCCATGGGTAGGTCGGTATTTGATAATACACTTATTGCTCATCATTGAAGAACGGGTGTTTGGGGGGTGCCGGAATGTATTCTGACCTTTTCTATCCGGTCATAGCTCCACGAAGCCCTCCAAGTATCGAGCGCACTGTTGCTGCTTGCAAAAATCGAGCCATAGGCAGTCAATGCGCCGCGTATGTGGAAGGCTTCGCGAAGCTATGATGGGTGAGTCAATACGAGGCCGTGCCGGCGCATGCATTGCGCCAGCATGTGGTGAACAATCGCACTTGTCTGAAATCTTTGGAATCAGTTAGCAATGGTTCGCGGATAGCTTCTTTGCAACAATTCAAAAAAAAGGTTGAAGATATCAGTTTTCCCATTTGGCTTTGGGTGGTCGATCACCATGTAGTGTATGATAGGGGCGACACGTATGTTCATCATGATAGCGATGACGCGAAAGAAAAGTAGAGGGGGTGTTGTGAACTTACCAGACGTTGCGTTGTGTAGTGAAGAGAAGAAGCCGTGGAGCTTCCAACTTTTGTACGGGAACTTTTCGCGGCGGGTTTTTTGTTTCGCCGGGGCGGGAAGGTGGTCCAAGCGCGTACCATAGCGCTGTTGTCTCCATTGACGCGCTCACCGGCCATTCTTAGGTCGACATCCACGCGCTTTCCTTCCAATATCCCAGCACACTCCCGCCTCACCACCAACTTCAACCCACCGCAATCGCCCATCATGGTCGCATCGTCAACTGTGTCGTTCGACGACTTTGTCAAGCAGACACGGGAAAAGAAGAAGAACGAGACGCTCGCCCAGCAGTTTCTCGGCGGCGGCAGCCGTGGCCGGAAACCCAATGCCTCCGGTGCGGGCGCAAAGCCGCGGGTCGACTCTGAGAAGCCTTCTCTTCTCAGTCGGATAAACGGCAGCGCTGGTGTCCAAAAGCGATCGGCGAGTGCGAAGCCAGCCGGTAGCATCGACGGGAAATGGCAACACGACCTGCACAAGCTGAACAATCCCCGCAGCGCAGTCAACACCAGGAACCATCTTGCGCGAACGGCATCAGCATCGCAAGTCGAGCGCAACACGAGGACGTTTGACAAGTTCGCCTCGTCTCTCAACCGGGGTGCGGGCGCACGCAACAACGATGGAGCGGGTATCAGCATCCGAGGCGTTGCAAACGGAGGGCCATGCACCGTCATTGCGAGCAACTTTGCACCCGGGACAACAGCTGCGGATATCGAGGCTGTCATGAGCCCCATCGGAGGAGAGACTCTAGGATGCAAGCTCTTGTCCGCAAGCCCAACGGTCATGGTAGAGCTCCAGTTTGCGACCAGGGAAGGAGCCGAGAACGTCATTGCGACGTTCAACAACCAAAAGGTCGGTCTACGCAAGGTTCCGAGGGGAGCAAGACTAACGCAATGTGCAGGCTGATGGCAGACTTCTCTACGTATACATGAAGGATGTTCCTGCGAGCACCCATCTGTCGCTGTCCCGAGCCCCAGCTGGTCGCCTGACCCAATCAGCCGATGACATGGAAATTGACACAGGCGCACGAGCTGGCAGCTTCCAAGATGGACGATATGGCTTCAACGAAGGTGGCCATCGCGACCCACCACGAGGCCCGCGCCGTCGCTACTAAATCATACATCATTTTGACAAAACCTTCTTTAAATCTATCATACACGATACCCTTTCACGAACAATGGCGATGAGCGAAAAAAAAGTCCTTGAAGAGGTTATGTTAGTCCCTTTACGATATACGGATGAAGCGGATTGAGAAACCGGAATATGGCTTTTTCCTTTGGCAAGATGGGCATGGAGTCGCGCTACAACAAACGTTAAGCATGGCCCTTTGAAAACTGTCGAGATAGGACATGGTATCTAGAGCATACTTCTAATTACACTTCCGACGGACACGGCTTCCACTACGGTTCCTTTAAGTGCTCTTCCATCCCTGGATTGCCGCATCAACCTCGTTCCTGTACCTTTGCTGTCCCTCGCACTGCTCCAAGAAGACTTTGTACTTGGCATCCAACAGCTTCTTGACTGCCTTATCAGCCAATGGCTTTACTGTTTTACCAGGCTTGCTGAGCCGATCCATGATATCCCACAGCGGCTCGCTCTTGCCATCCTTGTCTGTACTGGCGGCCTTGGCGCCCAACATAGCTGCGCCATGCACAACAGCGGCATGTACGTATCGAGGGATGAGCACGGGCATGTCGCATGCCGTGGCTATGAGCTCCATGAGTAGGCTGTTCTGGCACTGGGATCCTGACATGAATATAGATGAAATGACATGTCCTGATTTGTTCATCGCCGAGACAATTTGATGCGTCTGCAAAGCAATGAACTCCATTGTAGCATAGTAGTACAGAGCTAGACTGTCAAGACTCTTGTCGGAGCTTAGACCGATGACAGATCCCTTCATGTTGGGATCAGCTATAGGTGAGCGGTTTCCAAAAAGGTCGCCGTAGAAGAAAAAGTGACGGCCGAGCCAGGAAATGTGCGGTGCTTTTTCATTGTCGGCCATTTCACGTAAGTGTTCGTTCAGGTAGTCGTAAATGTTGGTGTTGTAAGTTTCAGCAACAGAGACAGCCTCGTTGAAAGCAGGGTGTGTCTCGATTACGTGCTTGAGTAGTTCACCTGTTGCACTCTGTCCGCCCTCTGCCATCCAGTAGCCTGGTAAGAGCACGTCTCGGTATGGGCCCCATACTCCATCCACAAAAACGGGGTCGCGGGACATGGCGAGATGGCAGGTAGAGGTTCCTGCAACAGCGGCAAGACGTGTAAAGGCTTGGGAGACGTCGTTCTTGGGCTGATCCATATCGAGTGTGTCCTCGTCGAGCTTAACTTTGGCGCCAACAGTACCAATCCAGCCGGCATAAGCATCGATGACGCCGCTGCCGACTGCGATACCGGGCTGAAGGCCCATCTCTTGTGCGGCCTTTTCGCTGAGCGTACCGACGAGCTCACCAGCAGTGAGATAACGCCCATTCTGCAAGAGGGTTAGTTGCACTCTAGAGACCTCAAAGCGATGGACAAACCACATTATCGACACCTCCCATGCGCTTAAAGTTGTCCTCGCATAATTCCTCGAGACCAATCTCCTTGAGAAAATCCTCCTGCCATCCCTTGACACTTCCATCAACGCCGACTGGTACGAAGCCTTGCTTGCAGACAACACTGCAATAGCTCCGGCTCTCGCTCCCAGTGGCAAGATGTGTAAGGGCATCCGTTAGATCGTAGAATTTGCAACGGTCGAACAGCTCTTTTGGCATGTTGTTCTTGAGCCAAAGCACTTTTGGAATCTCCATCTCAATTGACATTTTGCCTCCAACATATCGAAGCAGGTTGTGCTTGGTGGCATTGATCTTGTTTGTTTCCTCGACAGGCCTATGGTCGAGCCAAAGAATGACGTTGCGGTCGTTGCCATCTTTGTTATCGAAGTTGGGCCCAGTAACCGGGACAGGCTCGTCAGTGTCGTCCCTGAAGACAGCAAGGGAACATGTGGCGTCGAAGCCAATGCCGCGAATGGTATTCGGGTCGATGTTGTGCTGGTCTATTGCTCGACGGACTGAAGAGCAGATGCATCGCCAGATATCTGTCGTGGATTGTTCCTGCGTCGTTTTAGTTTTGGCTAAGGTTTGTACCTGCGGCAGCGTAAATTACATAGTAACCAGTTTGAGGCTGCCAGAGACCAATGTTCTCTGATGCCAGCCCTACAATATCGCCTTGGTCGTTCATGATGCAAGCTCTGGCACTACCAGTACCCACATCAATCCCAATGTAGTGGTCGACTTGAGGGTGGAGCTCATTGCGAGGGTCAGTCGACAGTTGCCGCGACTGCTGGCGCTGCGTCTGTCTGAACGGAATAGCCATAACTTGTATTTTTTTTGTGCACAAAAGGACAAGGAAACAGGAGGAGAGAAACAATAGGAGATTATCAGAACTTGTACTTCCACAAGATAATGTTGAGCAACCGACAGCTGGAAATGCGGGATGAGCTCATAATAGCTCGGGGAAGCTCTAGCATGGTGGGGGTGGGGCAATTGACAGCCCTTAGCTGCTTAGATATTCCATCTAATCCGGCTACTGGCATCTAGGGTCGCGGGTCAAGTGCCGATCTGGTCGCGAAAAGGTTGTAGGGAGGTGGGCATCGTTACTTTCGGATCCACTTCTTTTGGTATACCGGCCGCTGTTGGATGCCCGCAACGCCACCCAGAGGCAAGTTTGAGTCTTGGGAATGACTTATCGGTACAATTCCGGGACAAGCGGAGGAGCAGCATGAGTCAATGTTTACGCGGCTCGTGAGACGTGGAGTGAGGAGAGGGGTTGTAGTAAAACCGAGGGTCCCATGCATGCTGGTGAATGCTCCTCGGTGATACGATTCGCCGCTGGACGCTAGCCAAGCTTCGGCTTCCAACACCAATGCGCGTTCACTATAGTCGCTGTTTACATGAGCACGTCAGCATGCTGTTCTCCAGACTTCTTCTACTGCCCCTTGCAGTTGCGTCTTCGGTGACGCTCTATGTTGCTCCTGTTCCTGCCTCTGGGGATACGGCCGCAATCGCTTCACCAGTACCCCTCGCACAGATCGACTACGATGCGGATCAACCAGTCGGCACCCTAGTCTCATATACACCGCCAACGGGCTCGTACTCTGCCGACCGCTTATTACGTGTCGGTCTCACCGATCCGAAATCGAGCTCGTTGCATGGCGTTGTGACTTCAGCGGCGAGCTTCTCCGAGCAATACCACAAGAAGATTGTCGTCTACGTTGACGACAAGGGCGAGCCGTTTCACGTTGGCTTCAGTACAAGTGCAAAGGGCAATGGGAAAGAGGTAGAAATTGAGATACAGAAGAAGAATACCGGACCAAAGCCGGTACTGAACAAGCCCATTGTATTGAATGCAGAAGGAAAGCTGGGCACAGAAGAGCCAGAGAAGACATTCTTGCAAAAGTGGGCAGAGCTGCAATTATTATCAGGGAAAAGCATGCTGACAACTATGCAGGTACTGGTGGGCTATCGCTCTCTTCATGCTTGTTCAACTAGCTGCAGGTGGTGGAGAGAAATAAGGACTGGACAAGCAGCACGTCTAAATAGATGCCTTGTCAAAAACAAGAGGTGTACACAATGTCCGTTGACGTTACTATCCCATGTGATATCCTCTTCCAGTTACAGTGTTTTTCATCGTGTGCAAGATTCTCACATGGCAGCATTAGCAGGTAATCCGCCAGAACAGTCTTCATATTCAAGGTAAGAGTCGTGAGCTATCGTACATTCCATATCATCAGGTTGATGTCAAATCATCTATCATGTTGGGTATAAGTATGCATGCATGCGTCATGGGGTTCCTCAGGTAAAAGCCGTGGAAGCTGATGCTGGACGGGATTCGGCTGGCGCAGGGACTACCGTCTTGACCAAGGAAGTGAGAGTGGGAATGGATCCGGTGGAAGCAGAATGGCCAGGCGGGCAGGTAGCAGGTGAGAGTGTCGACTTTGGCTGATGGACATCCATGGGCAGGATCTCGGTCTTCAACTCTCTCGTCTTCTTCTGCTTGGGCTCGGGAGCCTTTTCATTTTCCTGGACGTAGAACTTCCGCAGCAGCATGATTGCCTCCTCTCGAAAGATGCCACCGGTGACAGGATATGGCTTGTCGACGCTGGGACTATCGAAGGGTTAGTGATGGTGACGTGAGTGTGGGTCTTCAAGGGTTGGCGTACTCGGAATGGATCTTGAGCACCCCTCCTGTTCCACCAAAGCGCTCGTTCCAGCATCCAAAGTAGACTGCACGAATGCCATACTGACGGAGCATTGACGCGCACATGACGCATGGCTCAACGGTGACATAGAGATCTGTCTCGTTGAGGACGGTGATGGGATACTCGGACAGGATGCCAGCAATGGCCACGAACTCGGCGTGCCTGGTGCCATTGAGAGTACGATTGGTCTCGTTCATGCCTCGGCCAATGACCTGGCCATCCTTGACAAAGACACAGCCGACTGGAGTCTCGTCGCTCTTGAGTGCAAGTTCGGCCTAGCGCAGGGTATGAGTCAGCATTCAAGTCTGTTGGATATGGTGTATGAATGGAAGCGTGCTGGAGCAGACGAGGGCGTGCGGTGTGTGCAGGGGTTGTTTTACCATGGCGATGGCCTCGCGCATGAAGCCCTCATGATACGCCCTCTCCTCCGGACCCATGTCGTCTGCCGTGTGAACCGCTTCGTTGTCTTGGCGGTCTTGTGGGATCACGGTGGAGTGAAGTAGGTTGTTTGGTGTGGGCAATTGCTGCGCGACCAGACAGTAGAGGGCCAGGCCGAGGCCGGCAGAGGCCAGCGCAAGAGCCTGCCATGGCTGCTTCCCCTTCAGAATTGCATTCATTCCCCGTGCGTGTGAGGCAGCTGCGACCGTGGGAGATGTTCTGAAACAGAAAGTGCACGTCGGTGATTTGTCTGCGTGGCTCCGATCCAAGACGGTTTCGGCAAGCGCTAGCCGCTCTAGTTTACGTGGAGGCCGCGCCGACCGAGGGCTGAGCATACCTAGAAGAAGCAAGCAACCATAATCATTGCCATCGCAACAAGCAGGCAGCCACCGACTTCGCTATACCGCACGCCTATACTACACCTGCTCTACTGCACCGCCACAACTGCATTACGCACTCGCAACCCACACCAGCAACCCAGCCCGCTCTGTACAAAACCAACGCCGACGCTCGTCCAATCCGTCTTACAGTAGCTCCGTCCACACAGCTTGCGCCGTCAACAAACCGACCCAGACTGCACTCGACATTGCCCTATACTCACAGCTGGACTCGTACGAGTTTTGATTCCAAAGCAAACATGACGCTCGCAGAAGAGTTCAAGTCGCGAAATTTCAGTAAGATATCCGCTGCTGCTACTGCCGCCGGCGCTGTTGCATTGTTGCTGACATGGCATC